TTTTATGTAAAGGTTTGTTAAAAATTTCTTGATTAAGGAAAACGGGTCGAAGAATTTTATAAACCTTAATATCATTTATCTTAAAAGTTCATTACTTCAAATATTGGATACAACTTTTTATTACACGTTTTAAGCTTTTGGCATTGATCTTACGGCTCATACTACTTTAAGGAAATTCGCGGATGTACTACTCGTGTAGAAGTAGATCTCAGCATTTTTTCGTCGATGTCCATCCGCTAGGCACGGAGAAAACCTTTGAATATATCGTAAATCGTGTTGTAATGTTTTTCACCCCTTCAAATTTGACAAAACGTAAAAATTCCTACGGCCACGAATTTTTTCATCGACTTCCGTACGCTAATTTCGGAGAGAAAGAAATGGCAAGAATGACGAAAATTCCGTCTTGACATTTTCGAAATTTGCGAATTCGATGAATCTCGATCAAAAATTGTCACACTCGCTGCTCATATTGTAATACATTTTCGAAAGTTTTCAGAACTTCTTATCCAGTGGAACTTGCAAAATAGAATTGATAACTCGGGAGATCAGTCGAGGAAATTGCATGCAAAGCGAACAAGGCAAGCAGCGGTTGTCCTCGTTTGATCGGACGAGTAGAACGAGGAGAGATCATCCAGATGGGACGAGCTAATATAGGTAATAACTAAGCGTATAACTCTGGGTAACGCGAGCTTTTTTCCTCGTCACCGGCTACGGACGCGACGTTCCGTGGAAACCTGTTCGTCATGTCGCGGATCCCGTCGTTATTTCTGCGATCAGCCAGTACGTCCAGCAGCGTCTACATCTAGAAGAACCTCTTTACATTCGTTCTTAAACGAAATCAAATCGAACTCGATTTTTAACTAAATCTAATTGGAAACATCGAATGTCGTTTTTAATCAAAGCTTGTATTTTTAGCTTCGGTTGCAGCGTGCGAAAAGTGTTGGGAAAATTGAGGGATACACGCCAGCGTACGAGCGAGCGGTAAAAAAAGCAGGAAAATAAAACGGTGGCTGTGCCTCAGGGCTGAGACCGGGAATTAAAACGCGCGTCATCGCGGTACGTTTAGAACGACTTGTTCAAGTAGGCAAAGTAACAAGCCATAGGAAACTATTTATCGAGAGCCCCGGTTCAATTTGCAACAATTACGAGGCAGAATACGGTGGCTCGTTCTCTACGCTATTCCATCTTAGCTGGAATCCGGTTAGACGTATCTAATAACTGGTTGGTAGTAGAGGCAAGGATTGGACGATCGACCCTTCGCGAGTCCAACCCCTCTAGGCCACCCCTTCGAAGAACCCTTCGATTAATCTGCCTACTCTTCTGCGCGATGGGTCTTTCGTAACCATTGGGTCCCACAGAAAGGAACCGCCTTCGACCCCATTCAAATATTGCTATCCCTGCCTCTTCTCTGTTTTCTATATAATTATTATTATCATTATTATTATTCGTCGGATAGATTGGCTCACGTTTGGTAGTTTATTTATTGCTGGAGACAGAAATTCTCTGTCGTTTGCTTCGAGGAACTGGAAGGTCCAAGCTTTAATTTTAGCCACGAACGAAGTAAATCTGTTTATTATTAACGAAACTATGAACGACCGAAGTTGAACAATATTTTTCACAATGTAATTAGACAAGGATTCTTACAAATTTGATTTCCCCCCTAGGAAGCCGTTTTATCAAAATTTTCCGAATGAATTGAATTAAAATAGATAGTGTTCAGTTTTAGCCGCAAACGAAGTACATCCGTCTATTATTATCGAAACTATGAAGAATTGAAGTTGAACGATGTTTTTTTACAATGTAATTAAACAAGATTTCATTCAAATTGGATGTCCATTCCTTAGGAATCGTTTTATCAAAATTTGCCAAAGGCACTGAGCTAATGTACAGATTTCAAGGTTTAATTTTAGCTTCGTACGAAGTAAATTCGTCTATTATAAAGAAATTGTAAAAAATCGAAGTTGAATGATGTTCTTCTCAATTTAATCAGACAAGGTTCCATTTAAATTCGATTTTCTCCCCTTAGGAATCCTTTTATCAAAATTTGCCAAAGGCACTGAGTTAATGTACAGATTTCAAGGTTTAATTTCAGCTGCGTACGAAGTAAATCCGTCTATTATTAACGAAACTATGAAAAATCGAAGTTGAATGATATTCTTCTCAATTTAATCAGACAAGGTTTCACTGAAATTGGATTTCCACTCCTTAGGAATCTTTTTATCAAAATTTGCCAAAGGCACTGAGTTAATGTACAGATTTCAAGGTTTAATTTCAGCCGCATACAAAGCGAAGCGACCCGTTATTAATGATTCGTATATTTTTTTTTCAAAACGAGGACAGGAGCAGGATTTTCTCACGGACGCGAGTTTCCTCCTACCGATGGAGCGCGCGTGTTATTTATGTGGAAACTGGATAATTGATAAGAACGGAATTGATAAGAACGGATTCCAGGGTGGGGATATATAATTAAACGGGACACTGACCGCGCCTAACGGATTCAACGTTTTCACACCCGGTAACCCCATCGAATAAAATTTTCGACATTTTCCGCATTTCATTTCTCCGATTCCGTCGAATGGGAATCGACGAAAAAGTTCAGAGGTCTTACCACCGGACGAGTGTGATACATGAGAATTTTTCCAAATCCTTTGTTCGATTATCTATGTACTAAAAAAAAAAGTCCATACCGCACCGTCAGCTATCCTCAGTCTCAACGGTAGCAGGAATAATTCCGTTGCTTCAGTCGAAATTCACACCCTGTATGCAGGGGGTACGTACCCGTTCCGTGAATTACAATTACATTACATCTCCTTGTCTCAGGAATTACTGCACGCACACGCACAGACAGACACACGCAGGCACCCACTTACACCGCGAGAGAAAATCGTTTGCCGGTACGTTAAATCGATATCGGTATCAACCGCCGAACCCCCCCTCCCCCGTCCCCCTCCGCCGCGAGTCGATTTTCCCCAGCAGCCCGGAGATACGTTGACACCGGCGGACGGCCGTGAACTCGGCGGAGAGCACGAAGGCTCTTTGCATCATCGAAACGATTTCTCAACGGGTAGCGCGTATCGATAAGCGAATAGAGGAATCCGCCGTTTCTCCTCCCTCTGGCCGAGCGCGACCTTGGCCTAGGACAACCCGGGGGCCTCCGCCTCGTCGGGGTATCGGCGAGCGACTGAGGACCGAAGCCGAGAGAGGGGCCCCCGACGAGATCCGAGACCGACCGGCCGGACCCGGGCGGCTGGCTGCTGCAACCGCGCCGACGACCGTCCGGGGCTGCTCCCTGGCCGAGGACCAGTTTCTCTCTCTCTCTCTCCCTCGTACCAGGCCCCGAACGGATCGACGATCCGACCCGAACCGAACCGATCCGATCCGATCCCCGATCGAGATCGGATTCACCGACGATCGATCCCCCTCCTGCCTCCCCCCTCTTTCGCCGCATCTTCGAGCAGTACGCTCGTAATTAATTTCTCCGAAAGGACAGAAAGTCTTCTTCGTGGGGTTAATCCAACCCTTCGCCGAGACCCCCTGCGAACCTGCAGAATCGAGGAGAATCTGCAGGAGGAAAATTGTTACGACCGGTTCGATTCGCCCGTGGGAAGAACGGACTCCAGGGTGGGGGGAATCGAACACTGCGAAAACTGCGAGCGGGTGAACACATTTTCTCATCCGTCGTTCGCGCTAAATAAAAATTGATAAACATTACGATCGTTCCCTAGTCGCCGTCTGAGGAGCGTTTCGTTCGATCAATTGCGAGCTTATCGAATTGCGCGGATAAGCTAGGACGGGAAAAGCGGTGGGAACGATCGAAACCGGTTGACGAAAGGGGCGACCCTTTGCTCTCACACGCCTCGGGAGGACAGGTTGCAGGACGTCGGCGCTGAACCTGCGAGCCGTTCTTTGCTGGGGGTCTCGCAGACGTCGGTCGCTCGCATTCCTACGCCCCACCGAATTCGACCGCGGTTCCTCTCAGGAGAGTCGCGCATCCGGTTCTTGGAGCTTCATGCAAATTTGTCGGAACCGTGGGACTCCGCGAGGGATGACGCGCGCCGTGCCATCCAGAGGAATAGCGTGTTTTCATAATTAAGAATCAAGGTGAATAATAAAGACTCGACATTGACCAGGGGCGTTCGATTAGCATAAAGCTGGACGAAGAGGGACGAGACTAGGAGGGCAGCGAGGCACGGCATGGAAAACGCGGAGTCGAAGGAATTTCGGTTCTTTCGATGTCCGTTCTTAATTGATCGAGCAGGGCTTTTAATTTCAGTTTCGAGGTCCGGAGAAATGTGAGACGTGGCGTTTCCTCAAGGGAGAACATCGTGGAGCGAACGGGTTCCGCGTACGCGTTGCTGCAGCTGCGCAGAATTCCTCGCATAAATTGTACACGCGTGGGCGTCTTCCCTACCGTGTTTCTATTTTGAAGAAACGGCTTGGATATGCGGGAAAATGTTGTCAATCCATCGGTACCGGTCGTCCACGTTTCGTCCGGCGCGATCGTGGCAACGTCCGATTGTTACTTTATCAAGCCGAAAATCGTTAGATCGACCGTCCGATCGCTGGGTCATCGATTCCTGTTCGAGTCATCGATGCATGACCGCCGCCGGGCTCCTCGGTCCCCCGGGGACCGGTCCTGTAATCCAGTTTCTCTCCCTGTCCCTGCCCTTGTCCCTGGCCCAATCGCAGCTAGCCAATCCATAGAGGCGTGCTTATATACCTACACCGAACGATGTGTTCGCCGATTATATTCGATGAATGATAGATGCGTTCGACGGGGTGTCAATCTGGGCCTTGGATCGTCTTCACTCCCGGGGATGATTAACAAACGCCAGTGAATCGATCCGGTGGAATTAGTTGAACGAGATCTGTTTTATCGACGCAGCCTCCGTGATTATCCACTAGAGACATCTATTGTTGCTCGGCTCACTTAGCTGCTGCTGCAAGGACGAAACGACGAAGGGTAGATTACGAGGAGCTCGTGAAAATTGATTCTCAGATAAAAGGTAATGAATTTCATTTTACAGGTTGCAATAGATTAGAAATTCTGAGGAAGACCAGGGACGTACAAGCGAGGCTATTTTCAATGATTTCTACGAGATTAAACGGCTCCTAAAGGAGCATCCGAGGGATTTGTTTCGGTCAAACGTGTTCGAGGATGGTTCTGTTTCACTTTTATGCTTTGCGGGATATCATTTCTTCTTTCTGCCCTTCTTTCCGCCCTTTTTTCGTCTCCGTCTCATTAACTGCGTTGGATCGACCAGAGGCGGCCTGGCCAGTCTAGGCGGCGGACTACCGAGAGCTAGTCGATCTCCGGTAGGCGATATTCCAGCAATGGTCGCCATCAAGTTGCCCGGCGAAGAGGACTCCAACAATTCATTCTTTACACGGTTTCGTTGAACCACCGACGGATCGTCGTCGACGATCAACGACCCCGACGCTTCCTTGCCTCGTGCGTAACATTTATACTCATCGCTCTGGCTCGTGGAGTCGTTCTTGAAGATGAAACAGTCGGGTGCCAACGCGTACCAGCTGACTAGGCTCCTGAGCGATTTCAAATCGACATAGGACGATAAACACCGCCGTTGTAGTTGTGAAATAACAAGGCCCGGGACCGTCATGCTAGCGATCATCTCTAAACCACGTTACATACGTACTTTCCCAGATTGGTCAAAGTGATTTCGAGATCTATCGATCCTGCGAAACTCCGGCCTGGATCCACCAACTCGAACGGCCCTCGGAATACGAAAGGCACTGGCCGCTCCACGTCCGCCGACCCCTTCATTAATATATTTAACCAATCGTTCACGCGTATTATAAACGGATTGCTACTACTACAATCGCAATACAAGTCTAGATTACTATTAGTATTTTCTACTGGCGGTAAACGGGGTCTCCTGAAATCAGAGAGGATGAAGCACCGAGTGACAAGTTCTTTTTTTTTTATTCTTGAAGGGATTAGCTCCGATAGTAGCGCGATAAGACGGAATGTCAATGTTATTCAGAAAATTAGCGAAAAATACGAGTTTATAGGACTACGTTTTTGGTCCTCGTATGAGAAAATTTTTGGATCGTTAGGTATTTTACCTACCTCTTACGTTACCTCTTCAGAAATAGAAAAGTTAAATCTGCTAAAATTCAGTAATATGAGCGTTGGAAATTACATTAAGGTTGCATGAGCCATAAGATATCTACCAAGAGTTTAAGAAATATGATAAAAAACAATGTCTAATATTAGAGCAATAAACTTTAAGGACAAATGATATTTACATAGAGGTAAGGTTTATAAAACTGTTTGACATTTATTTCTAAATCACAGGGAATTTTTAACGTATAATTTCTAGTATTTTAATGTATGGTTATGCCACTTTTTAATGGAATTGTACCAGACTTCTAATTGTCTACATTGTTTACAAGTTCTATAATTCTATGCTTTGCTTATTTTTTGTTGTGTATCTTAAACAATATGTTCGAAGTTGTTATTATTTCAACTTTAAAATATTCTTAAAACGTATTAACGATTATGCAAAATTACAAAAGACTGTTAAAGTTTATAATTAGTTCTTTTAAGCAGTTATGTGTTATGTGTTGATATGAGCAAGAGAAAGTTTATTTTTTTCATAATGGACGTAAAGGTGCAAAATGTAAAATAGGAGAAATAAGACTAAGAAGACGAAGAAAGTGGAGAGAGGATGGAATGAGGAAGGCATGAAAGGATGAGCGAGTAGGGCCAAATTGTAAAGCAAGTCCATTTCTGGGCTAATTGACTGAAATAAAGCTATATGTATGTATAGCTTGACTGCATTGATACAAATGGCACCTTGAACACCTTCTGTAAATGCGAGTTTATTTCGTCTTTTTTGTCATAAATGACCTTTGCTGACCTTCAAAGACTTTGTTATGTTGTTAATGTTGTACCTCATTGGATTCGTTTCAATAACCGCTATCAGAAAACAGGTACCGAAACATAGCATTCTATTTAAAAAATCAAAGGTGATCTTCACATCTCCGTAGCGACTCCACTTAGGAAAGAAATAGCCGGTATCGCTGTCGAAGGGACCCACTTGGGTTTTTTCCGCCTCCATGTAACGATAAACGATAAATGATAGGAAAGAAATATTAACAACATATTACAGCCCCTATTGTCCCATGCATCTTTTGTTTGGAAAACTTTTCTGCTTCTATCATACTTTCGGAGTTATTATCACTAGTTACTGCCTCACCCTGTATTATACGTAGCTGAGATATAGTATATATGTATATAATTTTTGGAGACCGTTAAACGATTCTTATATCTTGAATTCATATGTTGAATGGCAAAACTTTAATTTCATATATATATATATACAAAAGTACAAAATTCTCTCATTGTTTCATCTATTTTCATAAATGAAATTAAAATCTTGCCGTTCAACATAAGAATTCAAGATGTGATAACTTGAGAAACTTCTAAAATTCTGCACAGTGTTTTATTAATGTAATATCTAATAACTGTTAAAATTTGAATTATTTCTCATTGCTTTTATGTAAGGGCTCATACAACCTTCAAAATTGAAGTTAGAATGCCTTTATTCATAAGCAATTTTATACCCCAAGAAAAATGATTCTGAATGAAATTAAGACCAGAGCACGTCAGATTAAACTTTCCTCTTTCCGAAGAGGTATCTGACTCAAAAGTTGTATATAAGAACGAAAAGTGGAATCCCATAAACCCACATTTTTCACTGTTGTTGCCTCTTTATCGATAAAACAGAGCAAAAAACGTGAAAATTTTACCGACAGATGTTAGAAAAATCACGAAGTGACTATCCTAGTCGCTTAATGACACTGTCAACGAACCATGTCGCAGGCGCATCCGCTGAGGTAAGTGTGCACATAACAGACGGGGAACCGTTCGTCGGGCTTGAAAATGCCGATCTTCAGCTTGACCCTCTTCATCTTGTTCATCAGCTTGCCGCAGCCCATCGAGAAGTGATACGACTGGCCGGCCCGGAACTTGTACACGTAAATGCCTTCTTCCTCGACAAACCGGCGCTCCCGCTCGCGCACTTCCGTCGCCGGGAAGTCGACGAAGACCACGGCGACCGACAACTTCGCCCCGCCGGTGTCCATGTACACCTCCTTGTTCAATCTGAGTGACGTCACGTGAACGTCCAACAAATAGAAACCGAACATGACCAGGAAGGCGACCGACGGACTGGCCGACGACGCGACCCGCGGCGCCCGACTTCCTCCGCGTGGAATCCGTGTCTATCCTTAACCCGCGGTAAAGTCACGCGTCAATTTTTCTAATCGTCCACCGAACTGAATCGGGCGCTGCTCGCGGATCCGATCGATACATCCGGCCTTCATTGTTTTTCTCTATTTATTTATTTGTAAACCGTGCCGAACGTGACGCGCGCGTATGCGGACACGTAGATATCGGCGATCGTTTGTCACGGCCGGGCAAGCTTCGGTGATAATAATCAGGCTGGGCCGTTCGACACCTGTAAACTCGTCAATTTTTATGCCACGTGCCGCCCGAGGTGACAATTGAAATTGTTCCGATAACGCGCCCACGCGTGCATGCATGCGCAGCTAATAACGAAAGTCCACCTGTTGGAAATACGTCTGTCGTATGGTATATGTCATGAAATGTATGTACATACGTTTCCAATTCATTCGACTTTTACACTGTTACAAAGAACCGGAATTGCAACTAGTATAGTAATAATTATACGCAATCCGTTAGTCCTAGCGAAAAAACGATTAAAATAAAAGTTGTAGGGTTTGATGTCAGCTGCAAAAAATATCATTTGCAATTTCCTCTCAAGTCCTCTAATTTAGTGAGTAATTAAGGGGAAGTCTGTAAATCTCCATGCTGGCGAAAGATTTTTCAGATGAAAGCTTTAGATCTCAATGAGACCTACAAAAACGGGCTTATGCCTTTTTTCGTACCTCCACTGTATATTCAGAAATTCATGCAGGCGTAACTCGCCTCATTCTCCATGGCGAAAGTCGGAACTAAAGTTTCATCCAAGACTTTGGTCGATATTCATAGATGTTACTTATTTTTAAGATCGTTTTAAGCATTTGCTATCCCTGTCTATCCCATGTTTCCTGTTCCTGTCTTGTACAGGGAACAGGGACTTAAGTAAATGCTTAATGCGATCTTAAATATAAGTAACGACGCTGAATACCGGCCTTTGGTCGATTTTTCGTTAATTTTTTGTAAATCCAACATAAAATTCTTCGAGACGACAGCTATAACTTTCGTAAATATCGACAACTTTTATTTCAAATACTTTTCTCCAGCATCAATAATTAAGGAGTAATTAACGAAAATTAAAATGATACGAAGAAGAGACCCTTTGCATCTTTCCAAGATTCGTTTACTTTCATTAACGTCGACAAGTCATTAACGCGTGCAGTTAGATATTAAGTTATAGAAGATATTTGCATAGGACCTTTTTTGTAATTGACGTCGAGAGCTACAACTCTTATTCGAAGCATTTTTCACTAGGATGAAAAATAAGTTTTTTTTTTTCAAGAAGCAACTTCATTGTTTATTAAATTACTTTTTATTTATGGGTGCCAGTGAAAAATATCTCAGGCAAAAGTTGTAGCTCTAATTGTCAGCTACAAAAAAGGTCGTATGCAAATTTTTCCTATTGTCAGTATTTAAGAGGTAATTGAATATCACGTTTATTACCGTATAGCAGTGCATCTCTTTATTTTCTCAACAACCTTTACGTGCAGGGCCGGCTATCTAGGGGTGCAGTGGATGATATGCACCGGGGCCCCAACATGTTCAAGAATTAAAATAATATACATGCAAACCTGTACATGAAATCTTGACAATATTCCTATCGTCAGTATGACGAAAAGTACATTTTATCATAATATATATTGTAGATCTTCAAACTAATTCTTGATGGTGCAAGTGTTCAGTTTTTGTTATTTGATTCGGAGAACTCCCGAGGAGTATAGTGCAAGTGTGCAACATATAAACATAAAGTAAGTTTTACGGTATTTACGGTTATTTACCTCACCTACTAAGTTAGATTGCATATAGTATTTTGATAATTCACACTATAAAATGTTTAATATTGTTAGACCTAATCATGTCCATGCCAAGGAAATATCCCTCTGGGTATCAAGAAAGAAAATTAACAGAAAAGAGAAAAGAAGACAAGCTTTTCGAAATGTCACAAGCAGATCTGTTTTATTGGTTACGAAGTAATTCTGGCAATTAAATTGTTTCGACTTCAGGAGTTACAATTCAAGCTTCAACTGGAGAAGAAAGTTCAAAGAAAGGTCAAGCATGTGTGTAGAATGCTTAAATGCACTTGCTATATTAAGCGAAAAAGAAATTGCAAAAAATTGTAATTTTTTTAAAGTAATTAATGTATTAGCAAAAGCAAAATCACGCACCAAATAAACACGTATTAGTAATACATGTTCGTGTTTGTAATTCTTTTTACTTTGCAAAAGATTTAGGTTTCTTGCATCCAGGCCCCTTTATAGAGAAGGCTGACGCTGTTTACACGTTACAATCGGCTAAATGAAATTTCCATATGCAATTCTGTAAGAAAGTACGAAAGTGATATAAATGAAACGTATATACATAATTTCGAGGGAATTGAAGCACGTACGTAAGTACGTACGTTTGACGATAAGGTCTGAGCGTTACACGTCGTCGATTCCGAACTGTTTTTTGAATCTGTGCAAACAGTAGAAACAGACGGTCCCCTCGAAACTCGTTTGTATTAACAAGTGCGCTCCGCGTTTGGAGCGAAGGCAAACGGAGACTCCTTCGACTGCGCCATTACATTTATTTGTTACGTCGCTTCCGGTTGAAATGTCGAAACAAAATTAATACATACGATGGTACGGTATAGGTAAAGTCGGTCAGGAATGAGGGCGAATGCGGCTCTTAGGCTCGATCGATTCGTCGCTCGTCGAAGGGTTCCACCGGCAATTAAACACGGATGAAAATAAAAGGACTCGCTGCTCGCTCGACCTCGCAGCCGGTAGGATTCGAACCTACGCTCCCAGAGGGAATCTGATTTCGAGTCAGACGCCTTAACCACTCGGCCACGGCTGCCACCCCTCGACACAACCCCCACTCTTCGGGGATGCAACTTCCCAGCCTCCGGTAATAATTTAATATCTCTTACTTCAGCAGTCGAAGATGTGTGAAAAAAATCAGGAATCCATCAGACCTTCTGTATACCTACGAATTTGTCTAAATCGCTTGCTAGCGTAGTTATATCGTAAAAAATTGTGAATAAACCATGAAACGGCCTCAGCTCGGCGAACGTTTCGAGCGGCGATCGGTTTTAATTCGCGTGTATGAAAAATGGTAACTCGAGGCCGTCGAGCTCTCTTATCTCCGGCAGCAACCGGTTAACCGCGAAAACGTACCGCTGCCGTCGCCGTCCGTCGTCCGCCGCGTACCTTTGACATTCGCTTTCTAACGGAACGAATGTAGATTACCGTATCGGAAAAATGTGAGAACCGGTGCGAGGAAAAATTGAAAAGAGCACCGGTACGGAAACGGTCGAGAGAATTCCGTGGTTAAACGTAATACGGCTACTGCTTTTTTCGTTTTGGTTCGCATTCAGACGCGGCGTCACGCTCGCTCGCTATCAAGTCCTACTTTCAAGACTCTCGCCCGCAGACTTCACGAGCAAATTGATTTATTATAAAACTGTAGTAATAATTAATTGTCTATCGTTTCGCCATGGTAGAATTTAATTGACGTCCCGTGGAATTTTGAATGATCAGAGATTTGTCGCTAGAGAACAAAGTTCGTTGAAAAGTTGTTTCGAAAGCGGTGATCGGGTTCGAATCCAGAGCATCACTTCTGCTCTTTCTATCTCTCGTTGCGCATCCTCCGTTGCGAAAGCGCGGCCTGATCCGAGACCTTGTTCCTCGTTAAAACCGAGCCAATTCGCGCGTATTCTCTACTTATTTAACCTGCTTGTGTATTTGTACACCTTCCGAAACAGACGTTTTGTGTCTCTAAATCTGACGTATGAAAAATTCTAAAAAACTTCTGGGATGTAATACTGTACGAGTAGTGTGCGTGAAAATTTTTTCAAATTTTTGCATCCCTCCTTTACGTCAAATAAAAATTCTTAAGTTCCCGAACTTCTGTAATAATGAATTTTAATTATTGACACACACCTGTATCACTTCTCCTCCGATTCCGGTGTATGAAAAATCATAGTGGAAGGCTCTACTGTAATTTCAAGATCCCCTCAAGTGGCTGACCTCTCGGGAAACATTAATCCCTGCGTCATCGGATCGCGCGGTATCAAGTATTATTAACCGACGGGCGACGATTCGAAAACTCTGTTGCAATCGTCGAAGTACATCGAATCCGGTAACGTTTCGTCCAGCCCCGTTTCCTTCGGCCTCGCGCGCCGTCGAAATTTGGCCCCGGGCGAGGGCGGCGTCCGTTTGTCCTCGACCTGTTGTTATCTACGCAGAAATTCATCGATTCATCGCCTAAACAGAGAAATAGGAGATTAATTTACAAGATGGTGATACGAGATTGATTTGGAATGTGTCCAACCATTTTTTATTTACAACCCTTGACCAAATGACCCATTCTAAGACTGGCTACTACTGGTTAGCCTGCTTAAAATCACTCGAATAACTGCGCGATTATCCATAAATAGAGGAAGAGAGAAATGGAAAATCGATTTGGAGGAGAGGAAAATGTCTAAGCATTTTTTATTTATGACTCTTGACCAACCGACCCAATCCTGGGGATGTCTACTTGAAATTAGTAATCACCCCTTTAAAATCACCTGATTGCCATGATCATTCACGATTATCCATAAATCGAGGAGGAATATACAGGGTGTCCCAGAGAAAGTGTTAGAGCCGAAAAGGGGTTATTCTGTTGGTGTCCCTGAACAACAATTTCCTTTGGCAAAATGCGAAGTGAGACATGGCTTTTGAATTATTAATGAAAAACACTGCCCAATGAGAGCACATGTAGGGCCCATGCTCAACCACGGGTAGGTTGGCTCGGATCGTGGCGCCCGGGCATAGCCAGGGCAAGCTGTTCAGTACCAAGTGTTTTAAGAAAATAATGACTAATAAAGTATATAAATAACAATACAAGGAGATTGTTCATTCTTTATTATGAATAAAAATTAATACACTTAACTGTTATTCAGGTGGAATGGATGGGGAAAAGAGGAATTTAATAAGATAAATGAGAAATTAAAAAGTCACAGCGAACATTGACTTTAAAAGAACTGCAAAGATAGTATAGGTTGGACTTCATCCGCAACCTGCTCTGAGGAAGATGAATCACGGTCAATGGGTCATCCTGTTGATCTTTGTTGCTCGCAGGTCACTTTCACTTTCCACTGTCACTTTTTAGTCTACAATTTTCCAACCAACGTTCTACCTGCGAGTGGCAAGAATCAGCAGGATTCCTTCACTGTAGCCCATCTTCTTCAGAGCAGGTTGCGGATGAATGGGTCGGTACAATCTCTGTTCTTGCTGTTCCTTTAAATTCAATGCTCGCTGCGACTTTTTAATTTCTCATTTATCTTATTAAATTCCTCCTTTATTATTTATGTAGTTTCTTATTCGTTATTTTATTAAAACACTTCGTACTGAGCGGAGCACTTGTTCCCCTGGCTATGCCCGGACGCTCCGACTCGAGCCAAGACGTCTGTCCCTGACCGCGAGCGGATCGCGCGCTCTCATTAGTCAGTCTTTTTCGCTTATAATTCAAAAACCAAGTCCCATTTTACATTTTGCCGAAGAAAATTGTTGTTCAGAATGACCCTCGCACTCTGTCATTTTCGGCTCTAATACTTTTTACGGAACACCCTGTATATCGGATCGATGTCTCTTTCAAATCGCATCAGTAGCATTATTTTATTATTATCGACATTTTTATTTTCTTATTATTGTTAATTCTTATTTCACTGACCTATTGATAGTGAACATAATTTATGTTCAACTATTAATTTTGACATTCCGCATATGCATTATGCATTTTGAATGTGCAACTTCCGGTTCAGGCGCATCTTTAAACAGGTGTCCGGTCCGTCCCTGGACCCTAACCTACCTTTTTCCATCGTCTTGCCTACGCGCAGGGATGCCAAAATGTAAGATTTCTCCTCTTCCCGAGCTCTCCCCACTACTGTATGCTGCTGTATGCTCAATGTGCTCTCCCCACTTACATATGGCATTATTAGACATGTCCCCAATGATCATGAGAAACGTAAGTGGGGGCAAAAAAAATAGTGGAGGACAGCTCGGGAAGAGGAGAAATCCTACATTCTGGCATCCCAGCCTACGCGTTTTCGTCAGTTTGTAAGGTATGCGTATGTGTGGTGCTGTATGGTATGGGTTATCCCGGCTTAAATTTCACTCTATAATGGAGTGAATTTAAATTCATCCGTCTTTCGTTTCGATTAATCAATTTTGCTTGCATCTTGGTATACCTGCACCCGCAAACAGTAGTTTACTAGTTATATTTTGCTTGGGTACCAATCGGAGAAACTATGGTTTTAGTCAAGCGATTGATCAGGGTTTGGGTCCTGTATCTTGGATGGCCTGTCCCACCAGTCGCGGTGGTGCTATCTGTTCTATTTAAAGGTGTTGTTCCGATGATGCCTTTGTGCGGAGATTCTGTAAGACCAGCTGTGATGGTTCAGAACACTCCCACGCAGAGACATGGTCATCCTTGTGTAGGGCCCTGTCGACTCGAATACTAGCTACCCAAACAGAATCTGACATTTTGTTCTTAGCTTTAAATTAGAGCTAATAGTTAGACCATACGCGCGCCGCGAATAATACTTTATCTGTCACATTTTGCTTGGGTACCAGGGAGAGAAACTGCGATTCTGGTCAAGTGATTGACTAGAGCTTGGGTCCTGTACCTGAATGGCCTGCCTCGCCAGTCGTGAGGGTGTTTCTGTTCTATGAACATGCGCAGTAAGGTCGGACCGGATCAAAAAGTCCTTTCCGCAGTGAGACGGGATGGTCGTGATTAGAGCACTTCTGCACAGAGGCATGGACATCTTTGTACAGAGCTTTGCTCGACTTAAACTCTGGCTATCTAAGTGAAACCTGACATTTTTCACTTTGCTTTGTTTAAATTAGAGTCAATAGTTTATATAATTAGAGTTAATAGTTAGAGTCTTGCTCGCAATCGTGTAA